TTTAAGTGAGCATTTCTTCATATGTGTTCTACACATTTTTGTTTGCATTCTCCTAAACGTTGAATGCTAGTCATTCATTTGTTCTTAAAGGGTCAACATTTCGATAGGGAAGGATAAGATCTTAAAACTGAAATTAGTAGTTTACAAAATAATTAGCACTGTAACACTCCGTTGATTTCATTTGGCACTTGCCATTTTTGTTTGAGCATTGCCATAGTTCCTGAATAATTAAAAGTAAATTGGTTGCTGTAATAATAGAAACATATTGGCTGAAATCCTGAATCTTAGTGTAAGAAAATTCATGGCATTCAGTCCATTCCTAATCAGCAAAGAAAGAATAATTTGTTGTGATTCTTAGAGATGTGTACCCTGAGAATTGTAGTGAGGATTTGGGGGGGGGGGGTCAGCAAGGAATGGACTGAATGTCTAGCACTACGCAATGGGATTTCAGCCAGTGACTTATTAGAATGCTGAATCTGAGTCACTTGCAGAGATCGAATAATTACTAAGCAGAAATTATGCATAACAAGTCACCCAGATTAATCAGCTGATGGTACCAATGGTAATACAACATTCTTTGCTCCCAGTACACACTGTTCTTCAAGTGGGAAGACTTGAAGAAAACATAAAAATAGATTTAAAAATAAAATAAAAAGCAGACAGTGTCTACCTTCCAGTTTAGAAAGACACATCACAGTGGGAAGAAATGATTGGGAAGAGAAAGACCAGAAAATTCAGCATCATTTTTTGTTACACACATCATACAGTGATCAGCCATGATGGAAACCATCTGATCAGTTGGAAGAATCAGGCCTTAAAAGTAAGGAAATCCTTGCTGTTGTCTTTTATTTATGAGTGGGCATAGAGAGATTCTTCTTTGTCTGTGATTGTATGGGGTTTCAGTGAAGGGAAAAAAAATCGGGGGGGGGTTATCAGGTTAGATTCTAACTCTTGGGGAGCCAAATCAGCCATGTGAGTTGAAGGTCTCCTCGACTGGTACAAAGGCTCTTTGAGCCTTTTGAAAAATTATTATTCATTTTTGATTGGGTAAGGAAAGATCATAGGGAAGGGGGTTTGGAACACGATAGTGTACTGGGGTAAATATAAAAATACAGAATGTGATAGAGAACAATATATATCATTATTACTTTTGCTGATATGTTTTCTTACTAAGCTTACTTAACACTTACCTTGCCATTTTCCCTAAGTCTTTAAACTCTACAATTATATTTTATATCTTCTTCCTTATAATTTTAACCCATTCATGTTCTCATCCAGTTATACAAAGATAGGTTGATGATGATGCGTGAGGTGTCTAGTGTAGGTTTTGGTTGACTTGTTTGGTATTTGTTGAATTTCTGTTTTTGTCTGGCTGTGTGGTCCACCATTTCTTTTTCCATCATTATGTATGAGAGGGCATTGATCTTGTCCCAATCATGACTTCTCATTTTTTGGCTGATATTGTATGATGTGAAGGAATAGTAGTTCTTTGTCTGTGGAGTCCTTTTTTTGTGGGTTATGTGGATTCTTTCCCATAGGAAAGAATGCCCATGGGGAGCCCCCTCAGCTCGGTTATAGCGAACTTCTACATGGAACATTTCAAAAAACAAGCTCTGAGTTCAGCACCCTTCATACCCAAATCTGATTCAAATATATGGATGACACCTTTGCAATTTGGAGCCATGGTGAAGAAAAACTGGAAGAATTTCTAAACCATCTCAATAGCATCCACCCAAATATACAATTCACTATGGAAAAGGGAATAGAGGGCCAACTCCCTTTCTTAGATGACATGGCCATACGCAAACCTGATCTATTGGGACACATGGTCTACAGAAAACCCACCCACACAGACTGGTACCTACACAAACACTCCAACCACTACCCTGAAGAGCCTCGTGGCGCAGTGGTTAAACTGCTGTACTGCAGCCAAACTGTGCTCACGACCTGAGGTTCAATCCCAGGTAGCCAACTCAAGGTTGACTCAGCCTTCTATCCTTCCAAGGTCAGTAAAATGAGTACCCAGCTCACGGGGGGGGCAATGTGTAGCCTGCATAATTAACTTGTAAACCGCCTAGAGAGTGCTTGAAGCACTATGGGGCGGTATATAAGCAGCACACTTTTTTTTTCTTTACCCATGACAAAAAAGAGGCATAACCAAAACATTGACCGTGCGAATCGGAACTGTGAAGCTCAGTTTTTCAGCGCTGAACTCAACCATCTGAATTGGGCCCTACAGACAAATGGCTATTCCAAGAACAAAATTGCAAGAGCCATCAAACCGAAAAAACACAAAACTGAAGAAGAAAAACAGCCACCCACAAATGAAATATTTTTGCCATACATCAAAGGGGTCACAGACCGCATGGGGAAACTTTTGAAAAAACACAACCTACAAACAGTATTCAGACCCACCACAAAAATACAAAAATGTTTCGGTCAGCAAAGGACAAAAGGGGCCCCCTCACCACTGCAGGTGTATACTGGATACCTTGCAGTTGTTGCCAGTTATATATTGGGACCACAAAATGCAGCATCCACACCAGAATCAAAGAACATGAGAGACACTGCAGACTAAACTACCAGAAAAATTGACAGTGTCTAAATATGCCCTGAAACAAGCTGGACATGAAATCCTGTTTTGCGTGTGTTTCAAAACACAGAACTACTGGACAATACCAGTAATCATTATCTTAGGCTACAAAGGGAAGCCATTGAAATCCACAAACACTGGCAGAGCTAGAACAAAAAAGAAGAAAGTCTAAAACTCAAGAAAGGCTGGCTCCCAGCACTGAAAAATACAGCCTGTAAAAAGGTCAATGGACTCTACCCAGCCACAAGGACTGGTGATCACTGTACACACAAGACTAGCTAACAACACACATCAATCACAATGACAGATCACCTCCCCCCAAAGCAAAGCTGCCCATCGCAAATATACACCCATAACAAGAAACACCCTGATCACCGTAATCATCCAGTCTCCTGAAAAGGACAAAAAGCTGATCCCACAGCTACAAATAAGTTCTTAAGTCCGTATGTCGTGACTCAGTTTATGAGCTTAATCCATCCCAGAAGATGTTTGTAGGTCGAATCAGCATTTCCCATTGAAATGCATTAAAACCAATTAATCCGTTCCAGCTCTTGTTTGTATGTAGAGGCATCGGTTGTAAATCGAAGCATTAGTTACCATAGGAACTAATGCAAAACCGGTTAATCTGTCCACTACCCCTAGGGGGAGATTTTTTTAAAACCTAAGATGATTTAGGTTTAAAAAAAGGGCAGGAAAGGAGGGAAGGAGGGAACAATGGGGAAAAGAGGAAAGAAAGAAGGTCATCACGGGGGCACACAGACCCGTCAGACAAAGGTCTGTGCTTTTAAGCACAAAAAGAGAAGACAGAGACAATGTTTTTTTTCCCCATTTGTGATATCTTTGTGACTTCTCCCTTGGTTTTTTTCCCCATCTGTTGCTTTGTCTCTATAATCTGATTCCCAGGTTTTTTAATTTGTTGAGAAATTTGTGTTAAAACTTCCTGAACTTCCTTCTGAATTAGGGCTTCAGGACTTTGTTGGAGGTTCTGCTGCCAATCTCTCAAACATTCTTGACTCATTAATATGGCTAGGGTTGTATCAGTTGCCCTTTGGTGTTTTTCCTGATGCTTTTGCGGCCATTTTAACTAAGCTGTGTGTAAGATATATCAAAATTAATGTACTCCCCCTAAAACAGAAATTCAGTTTGACTATCAGATCATTCAATATTGAATTATAAATTATTAATATAATAAAAATATCACATCCATCAATGTCCCAATGTCTCTATATTCTGTTAAGGTAAGAATGGAAATTAAGTTAATAGTCTTTATGTTTTCTTCTTTCTTCTGTCTTCTCTTGAAAATCCTAGAACCTTGATTAGCTTTGCTTTCCACTCTTCTGCTGTTGATTTGAAGCAGCAGATAGATACTTTCCGTTGTTGACCAACAGAGGAAAATCCTTTCAAGTTATGCCAGCTGTTCTTCCTCCTTGGGACAGCCATTTCACCTGAGAAAATGCCTTGGACGGTATGGATCCTACCAGTTGTCTGTTGGCCAGTGCTGAGGGATCATAGAAATCAGTCATGCTGTTCCAAAAGAGATGGAGGACTCAAATCTCTCATTGGCCAGAGCATCTATTTGCTCAGTTTTGGTGAGAGAACAATAGTCTTGGCAGTTAGAATGGATGAAGCTGGACCTCTTTGAGTATCCTATCAAATATGCCTCCCACCTTCAGAGGTTCAATTTTGAAGGAGCTGCTTAGTGGGGTTTGATTACTTTTCTTTAATGTGGTCTTTATCCCAAGTTATAATATGTGTAATACTGTACTGTTGAATCTATACATTTCAAAAGCCTCTCTTGCTCTTTTACTTTAATGACCTATATAGAAGGTTTGCATATACAACTGAAATATATTTTTATTAATGAGAGAACTGATGACCTTTAATGCAGCAATGTTAAAATTGGCATTTGTAGGTATACTCTTGGGCACAAAACTACTTGCTGACCAGGGGAAGTATTTGACTTTGGAATGTGATAGGTTTTATATTACAGACAGTTTTATTCAACCTTTTTAGAGCATACAGTTGTTCAACAACGTATTATTGTAGTAATTTTTTAATGCTAATAAAATCTGTTATGTTTCTCCTTTCCTTCCCAGCCTCCCAGTTAATTTTATAACTTTGGCAGTAATCTCTTTAAAATATTTGCTTGAATGATCGTAGTCAGAGAATGGAGGATCTTGGGAATGTTTGGCTATTACAGCGAGCTGTTGTATGTAGTAAGTGTACAGTAGAGTATTTATCCTCTTTGTACTGAGAATATATGTAACTGAATTAACTTCACATTCAGTGTTTTTCTCTGTCAGCTCTGAGGAGTAAAAAGACTTTAATTGCTACTCTGTGTAAGACAGACTGATCAAAGTAACTTAGTGTGTTGTGCTGACAGGTTTACCATTTTTTCTTTTGGCAGGCTTTCAAAGAGATGCTGTATGCAGCCCAGGACCAGGCCCCTTCTATAGAAGGTAAGCAAATTATAACTTTATTCCTAGTAGTTTAGCTTTGAACACCAAGATCTTACCTGATTTAATGTTTCTCCTTGTAGTTATTGAAAATACTTTCTTTAAAACATTCTTTGGTGCTATATATGAGCCTAGACTGGGAGATGCTGGATAGCTTAGTGGTTTAGGTCTCTGGTTGTGGAGTCAGAGGTTGGTGTTAGATTCCCCTTTGTGCCTCCTTGACAGGGGCTTGACTCAATGATCATTGAGGTCCTTTCAAGCTCTGTAGCTCTAAGATTACTGTTGTTCTTTGCTATAAAGCACAGCTCTGTGTGCCCAGCCTGGTGAAAATCTGTGTGGATTGGAAGATAACTTTATGAAGTTTTACTGCTCACCTGCCCTTGTCTTTTGACTGTGTGCAGGGACTTTATGACTTTTAAAAAAAAATTTGCAGGCAAGTATATGACAATGCTTGATCTGGTTTGCGTTAGCTGTGGATCTCCCCAAAATGGGCACATTTAATACATAATCTAAACTATTAGAGAAGGAGGACCTTTAACTAGTTAAGAGGCTTTCTGTGTGATTTCCTCAGTGCTCTGTTTGAGATGTATGTTACAGTGCTTGACCTCTTCAGTTTTCTACTATGTCTCTCATCCCATGGAAAATGAAGCTGGCATGGTGGCTGTATATTATCTCCAGTATCAGAAGTAGCATTTCTCTGGATTCCAGTTTCAAGGGGAAAGGAGAAGATGAGTACCGTTGTGTGCACGCCATGCGATTTGCGGGCTTTCTATAGGCCTCCAGTTGACTACTGTGGGAACAGAATGCTTTACTATATGTCCTTCGATGTAGTCCATCATGGCCCTTTTGTTCCAAACAACCATAATCCTGGCTGGAAAATACTGGTGATTGCATAATGAGAGAAGTAGAATGATCCTGGTATGAACAGAAAGCGTTTTTTACTGCTGAAAAATACTGGCTAAATGGTGAAATTGTGTTGTATGCTCTGTAACATGTATTTATAGTAATACAAAGGAAGTAATCATAAGGTAAATAAAAAATTTCTGATAGCCTAGTAGAAAAATGTTGCAAATGGTTGAATGGGGCACATCAGAAGGTACATATGTGAACACATTTACAGAGTTTCCTGGCATATAAACATTATAAAAACATTCATTTCTACTTCGAGTGGTCGAAGGGGTAATGAATATCTCCATGTAGCAAGGTAGCATCCTGACATGCTTAAAGGAGGCAGTAATAAGACTGTTATTGAAAAAGCCCTCCTTGGACCCCACAGCGCTGGATAATTAGCAGCCAATCTCTAGTATCTCATTTCTGGGCAAGGTGCTGGAATTGATTGTGGCTTCTCAGCTCCAGGGGTTCCTGGCTGAGACAGATTATTTAGCTCTGTTTCAGTCTGGCTTCAGGCTTGGTTATGGGACAGAGACTGCTTTGCTGGGAACTGGACAGGGGGAGTGTGCCCCTGTTGGTTCTGCCGGACCTCTCAGTGGCTTTCAATACCATCAACCATGCTTCTGGATTTTTTTAAATGATGTAAATAAACCACCTTGAATTCTTTTTGAGGAGAAAGACAGGATAAAAATATTCAACTAAACAAACATTTGTTGCCATAGTTCAAAATAAGATTGGCAGAAGAAAATATAAGCATGGACTTGCTCTGTTCTTTTATGTTCACAATCTGTTTTATTTTTCACAGGATTTTCTTTTGTGCCTCTCTCCCCTGAAGTTCATGTTTTTCAGAGCCGTTTGTCACTTTATATTTTTATTATCAGGAGTTGAAACTGGATTTTTTTCAGTACAGCTTATTCATGTATTCACACTGCTGGTGGATACAAAGCAAAATAAATGAAACAGTAGAGCATGCATTAGCTTAACAAGAATGTAATCTTACATGCACCTTACTGTTCCTTGGTTTTGTTGTCTAGTAGACAAGGTTGTTGTAATTATTTTAGTTAAGAGCAGTAATCCTTTGGTTAACCATTAGCTGTTATAAAAAGATTACTATGCAGCTTCTTAATTTCTAAAAAACTATAATCATGAAGGTTGTTGTGGGTTTTCGGGCTCTTTGGCCATGTTCTGAAGGTTGTTCTTACTGATGTTTCGCCAGTCTCTGTGGCCAGCGTCTTCAGAGGACTGGAGTACAGTAGTAACTCTGTCCATGCTCTGTTGCTGTTTGTTGGATAGTTGACAAACAGCAACAGAGCATGGATACAGTTCCTACTCCAGTCCTCTGAAGATGCCGGCCACAGAGACTGGCGAAACGTCAGGAAGAACAACCTTCAGAACACGGCAAAGCCCGAAAAATCATGACATTTGCTGTCAGCTGTAGTGGATGATTCATTGACTGCTTCAAGTAAATGGTCAGATTGGGTGATACAGGAGAAAGGATAGTATCTAAGAGAACAGCAAAAATAGGCAAAGATAAGTTGCCATTTTTGCTCCAGAGAATGCAGTTATAAAAATTATTTTGTTGTATCAGTTTCCTTGACATCTTTATGAATTGTTGTGTTAAAACTGGATCATATTCTTAAATATTGTCTCTCCCTGTGCTTCGTGAAAAAATATTGAAAAGAAAGAACAGTTTAAACAGAATGGCAGGGCTCTGGCTATCAATAGCACAGAGATTGTTTTTATTGCAACCAAATTTATGTATTTAAGTATAATTCTCATTGAATTTTTTCTTATATGCAAGTATACTGAGATTTGCAGCCTTGAGCTTGTTCCATGTGCTTTGTTGGGAGTTTCTTTCCTGCTGTAAGTTGATAGTAATCCTTTGCATTGAGAGGGATCTGTGATTAAATTATCCGTCAAGTTCCACAGCTGAGCATGTAAGACATATTGTATAATATTGACATCTGGGTTCAAAGAACTGAAAGCTTCATTCCCAAATAAGTTTATAACATGCATTCCTGGACTTGACATTTCACTTACTCCAGGAAAAATAAGGCTTGCTGTCTTTTACTGTCAGGAATAGGTTTAATATAAGAGTCTTCTGAAATAGATGGATTGATAGATAGGAATAGTACTTGTTATTCATTGATGAGCAAAAATACTGGTCTGTTTATGAAAATGGTCTATCTGAAATCAAAGCCCATCAGAAATCTCTGGATGCATCATATCCTTTCTGGGACCAAAATCCTACTGAAGAAAACTTTTTGTAAGGGCTAAAGAGGGAAGGGCATGGCCAAAAAGGCAAATTCACTTGTTTTTTAAATTGTTTAATTGTTTAAAAGTTGCTGGAAGAGTTTTGTTAAATCCCTTTTTCAGCTAATTTTAAAAAGCTTTTTTAAACCATTGTGACTCCTAGTAGCCCAAAGTATTTTTTTTGAAAAGTTAAAAAAAATTGGGCATATGCCTTCCAGGATACTGGGCCCCCTTCAAAACATGGTAAACACACCTCTCCCTGTTCCTTAGGGGGAAGATGGGGAATTTCTGAACATTTAAAACTTTTTTAGGAGTTGGGATTGGGGGCTCTGAGGGGTGCCCATGGCTTGAATGTGGCCAACCCGTGTCTAACTAAGTCAAGATCTGGAACTTTGGTAGGCAAGTTTGCTGAAGCAGTATTACTGGTTCAGGATGGTAAATGTGCTTGGAACCATTATGAGTAGAGAGAGGTTTATTCCAATACACTGAGACCGTAAACTGCTAAATAAGTTTCAAGGTCATTTTTTTTTTACTTTGTTCTTCCACACTGGTGTGGGAAAATTGTGTGCAAAGCTTCAGAGAGCACCTATACCCATGATAGTTAAATAACTTCTTCAGTCTCTGGCATGTCAGCTGTTATCTGGTTTGGCAGCTTCCAGTCAGCAGAAATGAAGGGAAGAGAAAAATTATTTCTTCACATGGCTTTCTCTTTTCAAAGAGCTTCAAAGCATTGCATTGGTGGACAGATTTACTTGGAACTGCTTGCTTATCTTGCTCTTTCAGGCTTTGAGGATCCATATACGTACTGACAGTCATGGATTGATGAGGATTGGTATCCAGGAAATAAATGTTTAGTTCCATATTTTTGGTTACAATCAAAACTACAGCTAATACTTTGCTGCATTTTGAAATTATTGTGTTTTTGTTTACAAAGGGTAACATCTAATGTTGTTTGGAAAATGACTGAAGGATCTGTTTAACTCAACAAATAATTTTTAAAGTGTGATTTGATGTCTGTTAATTACCAAAACTGACATGTTACCTGAAGTCAGATACCTGGAGTCACATTATATTAAAGCAGTTTTTATATTTTCACATGGGCAAAACATTAAACTAGAGCCCACTTTCAGTTTAAAAATGTTGACCAGTTTGGATTGAACAAACCAGAATTCTGCAGAATTTTGGTTTATCAATAATGAATAAACACATTAGTACACTGTGTCTAGTCATACTCACTTCTTCCTTTTATTAATGAGAGTGGATTTGCCAGCTAGGAGTATGCTACCAAAAACTTGGTATGTTTTATCTTAACTGGATCCCTGATGTGTCATTTCCCAGCACACCTAGAATCCTAAGTTAAGAACAACTTAGAGAGGCCATTACCAAAGTACCTTGTTTCTGATAGTAACAATGTTCTTTATGATCTTGATGGCATTTCCAGATGGCTTTCATTTCTGTCAACCCCTGGTTGTGTTATAGGGGAATGTTTTTAATACACTGGAGAGCAGTGCTTGCTTCAATCTGGTGTTTTCTAAAAACTGAGAGCCCCAGTTTCTACTACACCAGAAAAAGAAGTTAAAGTCTAGCTGCCTGCCCAAGCTAGTTAAAGTCTAGCTGCCTGTACCACTTTTATCACTTTGGAAGTCTTTTTAGTTTGTGGACCTACAGTAACTGTTTGATGGATGAGTCTTCCAGTGTGCTGACTGAAATATTGCTGTCCTCAGTTAATAATTGGGGGTGTAACTGAAGAAGAAAGATAGTGGCTTGTTTAACCTGGTATGCTGCTAATCTGAAATAAGTAATTACATGTTAATGTTTTCACATTAACTAATGTTTTGCTTCTGAAATGTATTAATCAC